ATATATATATATATATATATATATATATATATATATATCTAAACTTAGATCAAAGTAATACAGCAGAAATAATTAATGACTCTTGTTGATCAGAACTCACACCAACATATTAAATGTACGCAGAGAAAGCAATATATACATATATATTGTCCCTCACGACATTTCACAGAATAATCTCTCTTACTTACCGCAACCAAGCTAAATCAAAGAAAGTAGAATAATAAATAAATAAAATAAATAAAGATATAGAGTCTTCGTACAGAAATTAAAATACCAGGAAAATCAGTTGATCAACCTCTCATACAGCTTCCAAATCATTCTTCCTCTTCTTCTGCTGTTGCTTTTTTCTCTCCTCCCCCTCTTCCTCTTGTTTTTCTTCTTCTTCTTGTTGTTGTTGTGATGATGCTTCTTCTTCTTCTTTCTCTCTCCCTTCTTCTTCTTCTTCTCGTTTTTGTTCTTCTTGTCGAACGATATTGGGATCAAACCGCATGTCCTCCACTCCGCGGTTGAGTTCCGGGAATTTACGCGGCCACCACAACCACGAGGCGGGCACAACAGACAACAGCGCGGGCACAAAGAAGGGCCGAACCACAAAAGTGTCCAACAGCACGGCGGCACTGCAGACCACGGCGAACTGTGAGAGCATGATAACAGAGGAAAACACCATGGATCCAATCGTTACAAACATAATAAGTCCTGCAAAAGATATGATGGGTCCTGTTTTCCATACCGCCTTTGCAATGGCAGCTTCATTGGTGTAACCCAATGTTTTGAACTCAATGACTCGAGTCATCAGAAATACATCATAGTCCAATGCCAATGCAGCAAGTAGCATAAAAGAGAAAATAGGTATTAAAAAATCATAATTTTCAACATTCTCTAATGCTTTCCAAACTGGATGTAACCATTTATATTGGAATACAATAACTCCTACACCAAGGGAAACAGCAATGGTATACACAACTGTAAATATCATACGAATTGGTAATATCGCAGTACGAAAAACAAATAATATAAATAAGAAAATACCACCCAATATCAAACCGATTTGAAGCGGAAAGAAATCTACAGATTTACTCATTATACACCAAGAGGCACTACTTGCTCCAGTAATACCATAATCAAAAAATACATTTTCTGCAGCGTGTTCATGAATAATATCACGCAATGTATTAAGATATTTATTTGCCCCAGATCCAAAAGGATCAACTGGAGGTGAAAGTATAATATAAGCCGTTTTTTTATCTTCCAAATAAACTGTTCGATTTACAAGATATTGGTAGTCTTCATTAAGTATATAAAGTCCTTGTGATTCATCTGCACCTAACCACATAACTCTTTTATCAATAGGGTTTTCAATCATATTAGGTGCTGTAATAGACGAATATGTTTGTCCAGTACGTCTAACAATAGCTTCAATAACAGAACGCATCAAATTTGTCATCTCATCTGTATTCCAAAATGAAACATCATATGTTCCACGTACGGAAAAGATAATATAAAATGGAATGGCTGATCCTCCACCAATAATACTTACAATTTGTTCTAAAACTTTAGAATGTGGACTTTTATGTGGAACTTCACTGAATACATTAAAGTCTACTCGTAATTCCGTTACAAAGTAAAAGAATGGAGCTCCAAACAAAAGAACCGAAAGAATTGCTATATATGGATGGTGAATAGAAAATTGACCAATACGAAACCACGGAGATGATATTTGACGCTTATACTCTGCAACTTCAAGATCCGCTTGTGTTATTTCATGATCAATAGGTAAATGATCTACCAAAGGAGATGCGGAAGGGGTATAATTTTTAGGCGTTTCAGATGAATGATATTGAATGTGTGTTTCATTTTCTTCTTCACTCACTGTCACTTCATGTGATGATCCTCCTCCTCCTCCTCTTCCTCTTCCTCGTTGTTGTTGTTGTTGTTCTTTTACTGGACGACGTTGATGACGACAGCATGGGAAGCAAGAGCAACAAGAAGAAGAAAATAAAGAGTAAACACAATGAGAGATTTTTTCCCACCACTCCGTCCATGTTGGTGGATGTGCAAAAAAATCATAAAAGGTTAATAAGAGTGCTGGTTGAATAGTAAGACTCAGAAAGACAGCGCACACCACTCCAATAGACATTGTAATACCAATTGTAGAGAGAAAATCAATTGGTAAAAATGATAAACTCCCAACAGCCACTGCAATTGTAAGACCAGAGACAAGAATATTATGTGCAGATAACACTGCCGTATTTTTTACCACTACCCACTCTGTCTCTTCACTACAACCAAGAAGAAGTTCTTGTTGCAACACTTGTTCACAAAATCGTGTTAAAATAAAAAGAGAATAATCCACAGATACGGCAGCCACAACTCCTAATGCCAACTCTGGGGCAAAGGAAGAAACTTCCACCGCAAAGGAAATGGGATACATAATGCTAAACGCAAGAGCCACTGTAGAGGGAAGTGTAAGAGCTGGTATTAACAATAATCGAACAGAACCCACACAATACACTAATACAAGAAATGCTAAAGGAAGAGAAATAACATCCACACGTTCCAAGTCTTCTACAATACCAACACTTGCATCTTGAGATAATAATGCGATATTTGTATATTCACGAGTGAAATGTACATTATGTTCCTCACACCATTGATCCACTAAAGATTTTATAGCGTCAATAACAGTCATACCTTTCCCACTGTGTTCTATTCCAAATCGTAACATACTTGACTCATTATGTTTACCACCAATAAAGGTATCACGTACATTACCAACATCTCGTACAAGAAAGAAACCAACTATATCATGGACCGAATTAAAAATTGAACTACTTTCATTCTTTACTTGATCCCGTAGATAATAACTAAAAGCCTCAAATTTTGGATCCTTTAGAATACTTTTAGATGTATTATGAGATGTTGCCAATAAATACAATGGATCTCCAGCTAATTCCCCAGGGAAATATTTCTTTGCCAATTGTTCACCAAAATAAGGAAGTGTTCCTTTCGGTGCGACGTATCTTAAATTCGTGTGGTTAATAAATTTCCACGCAAAGAATCCCCCAACGGGAAGTAAAATAATACATAATAGTACTATAGCTATAGCAATTTTCTTTTCCTTTCGCATTATACAAACCCTTTTTTTTTTTTTTTTTTATAAGGGTTTCTTTACTAATATGTATTTCCGATAATTTTTTTATCCTTTATGTCCACCCTTTTACCCCGTTTGTTTATAATATATATATATATTTTTTTTTGTTTGGATTTCTTTGATCAAAACAGTATTGTTGCCCTTACACAAGTAATAAAATAAAGGAAATACAAAAAAAGAAGGAGAGAAAAGACAACTCACACAAAGGCGACGAACAACAAAGAGAGCATTCACACCGGGATCCAAATAGATAAGATTACACCATTACCAGTGGAGGTTTCCTCCTCAAAAAAAAAAGAAAAAA